TTTGAGCAATAGAAGATTGGAGAGTAGAAGCCTGTCCAGAACTCGAATCCAGTGCAGATCTTTGATAGTTATCAGCCTTAGAAGCACCACCACCTGTCTGTGTCATGGGATCACCAGGTAGGGAATGTTCTTGAGATGTTGATCCTCTCCCTGCACGACCTTTCCGCTGTTGGAGTAAGCGTCTCTGCCTTCTGCTGGTCAAGGATCCTTCTTGATTAGAATCTTCCAGTTGAGTTCCATCAGAACGTGTGTGCAAATAAGCAACAAGCCCAGGAGGCAGAACTCTAGACAATAGATCCAGAGCTGGTTGATAAGAATCTGCCCAAAGAGCAACAAGCTGTCGACTAACTTCACAACGCTCACCAGGAGGAAGGAAGAACGCGTGCACTAAATGCCTCAGTAAAGCACCATCGCGCAATGCAGCATCACGCATCGACTCTGCTGCAATTGCATCTTCTTCCGCAATTGTACGCATAATCACAGCCACTGTTTCCCTAACGCTTTCAGCAGGATGTCCAAACAATGCAAACAAACGACGCTTTAAACCAGCTACTTGGCGTAACAGCTCAACAAACACTGTGTATTGTGTTGTCTCACCATGTGGTTCACATATCATTGCCTCAAGAACCTCCACAACAGCCATTGATAATAATGGTGATACAGACATAGGCTTAAGTCTGTTGGAGAGTATAATAGCATAACCATGATTAGCAAACAACACTGACTTTGTGTGCATGATTGTGGCATGCTGCTCTCCTTTAGAATCTGTTAGTATATTTGTATCCCCAGGACCACCACCAATAAGTACTGCGACGAGGCCTGCTGCTTCAGCAGCTACACCCTCTGAACCATTTCTGAGTAAGCCGATTATTCTTCCAACAGCAGCAGGAAAAGACATGACATGTGAAGATGCAGTTCGTGAAGCTAGTAATCTACGTAAGCATGCAATAAAGCCTATCACCGTTGCAGCTGCTTTAGGTGAAGGGGGAGGTAAGGGAGGGGACTCTGGAGGAAGATTTGGCGTAGATGGAAGCATTGTTATTAAAGCCATCAAAGTCACCTCAGGTACTTCTATGTTAGGAGGAACTCCACTATATGGTATACATGCATTGAACTCTCTTATTCTACGCCATAGCTTAGCTCTTGATCCAGGAATAGAACCACCTTCAGAAACTGCATCTTTGGCAGCTGCTGCTAAGTGTTTCAAATGCATAGATGCACTCTCCATATCTGCAACAGGCCGCTGGAGTCCAAATTGTAATTGGACTCTCCCGCAAGGTGGATCAATGCGATGGCCAGGCATTGTCAATCTTGGTAACACAGTCACTGCACATTGGCCCTACAGAGATTAAACCAAGAGGTCAACCAAGAGAAATCATTATCTTATGAAAGAAATTCATGGGTAAAATCTGATCAATATCTACAAGACCACACATCCACCTACTTCTGTTTGCAACTGATCCCGAACTGCTACAAGTAGGCTATCACGAGACGTGCTTGCATAAACCTACATACATCATACACATCAGAAACATGACCTCATGATAAATCAGGAATTCAAAAGGAAGGTTATGCTCACATGGATGGGGCACCCATCATTGAACTCAATTGCAAACATTTGGGGCTCCTCAGCAAATCGAACAAGTGCATTTACTGCAGATAAAGGTCGAACAATAACAGCCTGCACACATCTAGTGACTATTCTCAACATTTGATATAATTCCGTGAAATGCTAGTATATACGAAATAAAAAGCCATAAAAGGTTTTAGAATTTAAACTTTCATTATTCCATTCTTAAAATTTGTTATGTGTACATAAATTGCATGGGCTTTTGGTGAGCAAAAAAAGGTCCTTTCTTTCTTTAGAGTTTATTCACTGATCTGAAATGTAGCACTTGTTTTCTTATTGATGACAGGACGGTGAGGAAAATGCTTAAATTTAGATACCTTTTATAAAGGAAGCTTAATTCAAGTCTAATGGCTCGAACTTCATGGCATCAACCTAAAGCTTATGATATATTGTTTCAGTAAATTCATCAGCTTACTTCATAGTTCTCTGGGCGTCTTTCAACAAGTGAAACTTTTGTAAGAATCAGTTGACGAGATACAGCATCACCATTCTCCCCAAGTCCACCTTTTGGGCCAACACTCAAACTCAACCCTGGAACATTTAAAGTTCCACGAGCAGCAGAGCGCAACCTTGTCACAGACCAACCTCCACATGGAGTTTCTTCTGCTCCAACTGCCTCTTTTGCTGCATTACCAGATAAATTGATAAGAGCGGCTAAATAGACAACATTACTGGAACACAGAAAGAACAAAAAAGAAGATTCTAAAAAAGGGTTAAAAAGTGCTACCCCTTCGTTTTATATACTCTGGTATAGTGAGAGATTGAGAAGTGTCCACAGTTAGTGACACCCCGACCATGGATTTTGCTGTTTTGGTCTGCATGAAATACATTATAATAAGAACTGATTCAAAAGAATCCCTGACAACAGAAGGGTTTTCCAATGGGGGCACTTCATATATTAAATTTGAACTTACAGAAAATGAGCATTTACATAAAGTTCTAAAGAAAATGTTAAACAATGAACAGTTCAAGGTTAGTCATACCAAACTTGCAATGATGGCTGAACTTGTGGTTCCAGAAGCAGCTTGAAAAGCTTTAGATTTTCTTCCATACAAGGGACAAAGAACAAAACTTCCATGTTCACCGCCTTTCTTCCCATAAGCATCAGTAAGGGACACAATGGCAGGCGAGTCAAAATCTCTGAAATCCAAGCACCAGCGAAGGTCTCCACTTTTTAAATCAATAAGTTCAACCCCAACATAAGTAATTTTTAATTTCTGCACAAGCCATCAATTGTTACATAAAATCAGTCTAATCCTTACAAAAGAGCAAACCGAACATGCCAGTCACCATTACTGACCACTCAAATGTACATTATCAACGTTCAAATAAACATCAGTTTAGTAAAAATTATTAACGACTTACATATACTTGCGAGCAACTTACATGGGTCTAAAATCGTTAAAAAGCATCAGACATAAACAAGACAGCAGTGTTCAAGTACGCTTTTTAGTAATAGAAGCAGTAACACCATGATAAGTAAACCCATTTCTGATTATTCTCCCGAGTTCCGTAAATTCTATGCTAAAACTATTAGTAAAGAATCATACTATTAGTCTCCCCAATGCTGTAAATTATATGCTAAAACTATATGGTACAGAAGCGTCCCTTGCACTAAAGCTCCACTCTTCCAAGGCAAATTTGCTCATGGCTTTGAAGCAATCATACTACTAAGTATTAGCCATTGAATCTTCTACTAACAAAGTTATCGACTGCCTACGGAATCTTCTACTACCAAATTAGCACGGTAAAACGACATTGCACAAACACTAACAAGCATCAGAAGATGAGTAACTTACAAGTGGGACCCACTCGGCATTCCGGCGCCGGAGATGAAGCACCGGAAACTCGGCGACGGCGCCCAACCGATTCCCCCTAATTCTGTGCAACTCGGTCAGTATACTCGCTCTGTACCTCGACGAGAACTTAATGCCCTTGAATTTGCCCTTCCCATCAGTCCGAACACTCAAATTGAACTCATTGGAGTTCTCGTCGCGGCTGAGGATCGGCGCGGCGGAGTCGAAATCGGTGGCGACGTCGTAAGAATTGGTGACGGAGAGCGTCCCGGGATCCAAGGTGGTTATGGCGACATTCGAAAGGCAGAGAATTCGCTTGTAGCGGCCGCGCCACGAGTGCTTGATGACCAAGTAGCGGGCGAGGTACTCCGGCTCCTCGACGACGGCAGGGGTAGGACGGGAAGAAGAATTGGAGGAGTTAATCTTGGGGCTGTCCATCGGCGCGGGTGCAGGTGTGGGCGCGGGAGACGGGTTCTGATCGGGTGCGTGGCGGCTCACGGATTCTACGTTCGGGAGGAAGTGGAGGGTGTGAGTGCGGGGTGCATTGTGGTGGCGAAGAAAGAACCAGAGTCCCGAACCGGGTCGACTCGGTGGAGGCGCAGAGGCCGCGGCCTGAGACCGAGACTGATTCGCCCCCAGCTCTGACGGTTATTTAAGCGTTCTGCCACAGCGTCCAGTTTTTTTCTCCGTTTTCCGATCGATCAAACCCTAACTGAACCGGATTGAATCATCGGAGATCTTAAGGCCGCGTTTGGATCGGAGAATTGGAAAAAAAAAAATGAATTAATTGGAAGGAAGAAGAAAGAGAGGAATGACAGCTGGGGCGAAGGAGAAGAAGAAGAGCTGTGCTTCGCTGTGTACAATACTGTCAAGAAATACCGATGTCGCCCGACGGTGACCTATCTTTAAACTCGAATAACCAGAAACGATGCCGTGTTGGCCCTCAAAAGTCTTGAAAGTCCACTACTTTTTAAATATTTCTTAGTCTCGAAGTTATATGAAAATTGGACGGTCAGGATTTAATTGAAGAATTCTTATTTTTAATTGAAGGATTTATTTATTTATTTATTTTTACTTAAGTCATGAAGAATTGTAAGAGGAGAAATATATAGTTTAGAGAGTTTAGTTAATTCAAGTGTCTTACTGTTATGTAGTGTTACATGTATATTGTTTGATAAAATATTAGTTTTTATGCATGCATATTATAATTTACAAATTAATAACATCACGTGACGATGTGACAGTTACATTAAATATTTATCATTCCCAAGAGCATATCATGAATTAATAACATGACATGTGATTTGGGACTCACATAAGATTATTTGGATGTAGCCCCAAATTATGAGTCATGTGACATAGGCCTACTTTTCGTATGTCCCAAATTATTTTGTTCCCGCACTTATCTCAACCCATTAAGTTGGAACTTGGAAGTGGTGAAACCCTAATTTCTCAAATGGAAGAGTGAAACTTGACACTCACTCCATCGGGAAACTAGGTGTGTAAAATGCAAATATTGAAACCTCATAGCTCATTTTGCAAACAGCACCCAAATCTTGCAATGTAAAATGCAGTTAAGCCAAAGAATAATGATGTATTTCCGAAATTAAGTGGTGAATGTAGAATCGCATATATGTTGTTGGATGGTAGGTAAATCCAAGGGACAAATAATGCCAAGTGTTTGATCAATTTAGCTAATTAACACTTTGGTCACCCGGACTCTCTGTGAGGGACAAAAGCTGTGTGAAGCTTTTTGTGGCAGATTCCGGCAAGCAAATGCACACAAGCATTGTCCCGCTCTGCTCAGCCTCGGCTTCCGGCAAGAAAACGCAAACTTGTGGCGTCGGAGTGAGGTCTATAGGACCGGCGTATATTGGCCTTCCCCATCCAAAATCAGCTGAGTCATAGATTGAAAACCTTGTCCATTGAGTTATTGTCAATTTGCCTCCAAATTCCAGCCTCCTTGGCCTGTCCACTTCGACATAATCCACCGTCGATCTCAGGTACTCTTCGGAGATGCCAAGCCGGGCTTCGCGAACCAAACGTGCTGTGTCCGAAAGCCTTCCATACACAAGGTTTCTCACAGTGCTTGTGACACAAGCAAGGCACACTACATTTCCGTAATACCCTTCTTTTACCGGCAGGTTCTTAAGCTTCTGCCGCGCGTTGGCGGAGAATGTTAGCCTGAGCTCGTAGTTTAACGGCTTCACATCGAGTGCTTTCACCCATGATCTCCATATGTGAGCGGCCATAGCATCAAAAGTGCTGCAAGTGCTCGACATGTCATCACTTGGTTGCGCCGAAGTTTTCAGCCAGGTTTGAAATTCACGGCTTACTCTATAGCACTTTTGAACAGCTTTGGTTTGCCAGAGACTCATTGTGAGACTTGATCCGTCATCAATTCTCATGTACTCAATGTGTGGGAATTTAACCAGCGGTGGATCACGAGGCCGGAAAATTTCCCGGTCCCAACACGGCGTAGGGTTTGAGATCAATGTGCCGGCTTTGGCGGTGGCAGCCCAGGAGCTGAGAAATTGCATAGCACCAATCCCGTCGACAATACAGTGGCAGATTCTCAAGCCAAGGCTAAACCCGCCGCAGCGGAAAAGAGTCACTTGAGCTATCAGCAATGGCATGTCAAGCACTTTGTATGGCTCTTCGTTGGGAAACCTAAAGACCAGTGGCGTCCATGCCGGGTTTGGCACTTTGAGGTCCCCGAGTTCAGCCAAGGACATTTCACAGTGCGCCTCCACCATGAGAGCTCCTTGGTCTTGCCCGAAAAACACTTCTAGCTTTCCATTTCCAGTCTCTCTCAGCCTACCCGATAAAGGGTAGTACGGAACCAAAACACAAGCAAGAGCATCCTGCAGTGTTTTCATAACCGGTTTTTGGTCATCGGAGGCATAGAAATACACGGTGGGAGTGAAAACACGAGATCCAACCACATCATCGAGGTTCGAAAGGTAAAGGGTTTTCCCGGGAGCCGCGGGAGTAGGCCACGAGGGCATGACGGGAACCATATGATCGATGGTGATGGGGATGTGGAGGTCGGAGAAATGGAGCTCTTGAACCCACGGAGGAGCCATGAGAGGTGACGCAGGAATCTGAGGCCATCGATGCCGAAAAGCTGCATTTGTAGGAAGATCACTATTCTCTTTGACATGCAAAGATGCTTGAGCTAAATAGATGAAGAATTTAAAGTTCTTGGTGTAGAACAGTTGGTGCTGATATTATTCATGATAAAAAAAATATTAGATCTTGACAGAATTAACAATTCTGTATCTTTGTGTGATGTTATCGGATATAATTTCAGCAGACGAAGAAAAACGTATGCTCTAAATTGACATAAAATTATAATGTGTTATGCGACGTGCCGAAAAGCTGTCCCGAGGAACCGTGCTTCGAGTTCCGGTGAATAAAACTGATCAGTGTAGAACTAAGCCTCAAATTTATCATTCATTCTCAAGGTACATATATAGTTTAAACAAATACAGATACGTAATTGTGCCTACACTACGTCTATACGACTATGATTGTCTCTGTCGTACCTGGATAAAGACACTTACAAGTTCACCGAAATTTCACCGGACGAGAATCTGAACGATTTGCTTGTTTTTACTCTTTCCCCCTTCCATGGAAAGTACTATCTATTCTAAAAAGTACCATTTTCAGCAGTAACTCGCAACTGGTAGGCTTCCAGCAGCAAACACTGCTCTCATATTAGAAGCATCTATCTCTATTCTTGTGGAAGGAGTGCTATCTCGATTTCTTGGAGCGATTTTCCTTTTGTTTCGATCACATTTCGCTTCACGAAAACCACAGCCATCATGCAAAAGGCGCCAAATATAGAGTACAGAAGCTGCGGACCAAGTTGTTCAAGCAGTTGCAAGAATAGCAATCCCACAAAGAAATTAATCACCTGAAAAATACCCAGTAACGGAATAAATGAAACCAGAAGTTAACTGAACTACTACATTGATTGATTCAGAATCCACATGGAGGAAGAAGCTAATTCGCAAAATTAGTAGACTGCTGAAGCTGTAGAATAATTAGGAACGTAGCCTAAGCAATATGCTGCTCAGATCACCCGAACAAGAAGCCTTTCACAACAGGGGACCTGCTTAAAAAAAGACAACATGGAATTCAGAAGGAGAAAGAGAGTTACCCAATGCACTGACATACAGACGGCCATTGCTTTTGCCCTAATACGGTTGGGGAATATTTCTGGTAAAAGAAGACCTGGAACTGGACCAGCTCCTAGAGCAAATGTTAAGACGAACCTGCACCAATTTTAGGGTAGATGATTGAATATTAGAAGTTTGATTTAGTTCATGTTATTGTGTAACTTGATTATTCACCAAGGTGCCAAACCAGTGGCTATAATTTTCTGAAGGGCATTCATCAGCATCATAAAATCTCACGACAATTTCAAGCATGGCAACAATCATATTATCGTCACATTTGCAGAGGCTATGGACGCAACCTCAGCATGAACAACATATAAGAGGAATATCGTTGGAAAAATTTGGATGCAGAATACTTTATTTGATGCGGCCATGATCATACAACATAATATTAGTCTTCAAGATGTAAAGTTCAAAATTATGACTCACATTAGCATTCCACCAACAGATAGGTACAGTGATCCAGACCCTGATGAATTAAAGCTTGCCGCAGCAACTTGAAGACCCATTGACATCGCCTGAGCGGACAATGCATCACATAATTGCCAAGCTAGCAAAATATTGAATTCCGTGAACCAAACAAATGATATGCAACTTCAACTTACCATGCCAAAAAAGCTCCATAAGAGTAGCAGCTTCCTCCCTACTTTATCCATCAAAAGCATTGCAACCATGGATCCTGGAAATTATAAAAATTCATCCAGTCAAGCAGAATGCAATCGTTGTGGGTAGGTGAATATGCAACCAAGAATCTAAGGTATACCTGACAAATTTGCGATTCCTATAAAGGCATTTGCGAGGCCTGATGGTACTCCGGCACTTTTAAATACAGCCGAGGAGAAGTAAAAGACAGCATTGATACCAGATAACTGTTGTAAAGCAAATAGGGTTGACCCAATAAAAACCACTGCAAACAAACATGTGAATAGCCAAGCACTTTTAGAAAGGCGAAAGATCACAAATAAGAGGAAAGAAATACACCATAGATGGATGGAGAAGGAGAAAGGCGAGCCTAAATATATACCTCTAAAATGGCGGCCATGGAACAACTCTGAAAGGCTTACAGTATCTGTCTCATCTCCCCTGTCCAACTTGGCTAAATCTGCCATGGCAGTTTTGACATGTGATCCACCAAGGAGTTTCTCAAATTGGGCTTCTGCCTCAGAAGTTCTTCCTTGCTATATCACATGAAACCGAGACTATTAACATTTGTCTTCAGAGGTGTGCTCAATTTTTCTATTCAACTAAAGACAAGTGAGATGCGAGGCATACCTTATGTAGCCAATGTGGACTCTCAGCACAGAATAACATGGCAAGAGCCAGTGTTACAGCTGGAATTATAGATACCCAAAAACAAACACGCCACCTGACACATAAATAAAGGTTATAAATTTGAAAGGTTAAATGTGAATCTACGCTATTATGAAGCCTGTCATGTTTCTTACCAGCCAGCGATTTCTTTAACAGGGATTCCCACAAAAAGAGCCCCCATAATTCCCAGGCATGTTGCAATCTGGATCAAACTGCCATAAGTACCCCTCACAAAAGCAGGAGAAACCTGCTCAAGTAATGACGAAACATCAGATAAGAAGTACAATATGTATTGACAACCTACAGAAAGGTTTACGCTAGTACCTCAGTCACATAAAGAGAGGCAACAGGAGGGCCGAGGCCCATACCAGTCCCAACAAATAACCTTCCTATAAGCATACCAGCAAGAGTTTTGGTTGATGCACTGCAAAAGCAGGTAGTAGTTTTAGCCAGTACTTCAAGATGTATTACAAGAGAGCCTTGGAAGATAAGAGTATATGAGTATTTCGGACTACTTTTACTTGTACTTAAATGTGTGCAGTTACATCGGGTACTGACAGATCATACTTCTACATTACAAAAACCAGACTGATCCGCACTGATTTTGTGATAAAGAAAGATCACATAAAAGGAAAATAGTAAAGCCCTATAATACTACAGTACCATGAGGATCAGAAAGATCTACAAAAATGGTACATAAAAAGGGGCTCTGTCATAATGTTATATTACAAGTTCACAACTCAAAAAATTCCAGGAACCTAACTACTAAAACAGAAAGAGCAATGACATAATGTGGTACTATAAAGAATAAACCAATCTTGCAAAATATAGATCCATGTAGTTCTCAATCAAAATGATGATATCGTGACAGTTGCTTTTCAAAGTAAATATATCACCTCATAGCAGCACCAATTATCATGGGCAATGCACACAGTTGAAAAGCCCTACGACGTCCTACTCCATCGGCTAACCATCCACTGAATAAAGATCCAATAAAGGCACCTCCCAAGCATGTACTCACCACCAAACCTTCATTTGAAATTATTAAAACCCATTAGAACAGATAGCTGAATGCAAAAATCATAAATTAGTTTACAAGTTATAGCAAACCAACAAAGAAGAGATCTACTTCAAGTCACCTTCTGCCAAGGTATTTCCCTTAAAACCAAGATCTTTAGAAATGCTTTCGAGCGGTTCATTAACTACCCTGCACAAAGCAAGAGTAGAAAAAGAAAAGGAAGGTATATTACTCTCTTATGCCGCAACATAAAACAAACTATCAAAAGAGAGGGGAAGCGGACTGTAAGCACCAACCCAAGATGGTAGCCAAACAAGAATGAAGATAGAGTTGCCACAAGCACATGGGGAAAAGACCGCTTCCATGAGGGGTTTGAATGTTCTGGAACTGTACTTTTCTGTAAAAGAGCTAAAACAGATACAAGAATTAAACCCTTAATTGAATTATACACATACAATAAGTATATGCCTAATGCCGAATTAAGAAGACCTTAGAATCAATGAACTCATCACTATCATTTCCAAGAAAAGTGCGGTCTTTACAAATATCTCTGCCATCATTCTTCTAAAATCTGCTACTTTTTGTGGTGAATTCATCATACGAAAGTACAAAATGAACACCAGAGCATCACAATTGATAGCACCCAGCATACATATAAACTACATATGCTCAATAAATTGAGTTACCTGAATTTTCTTCCATGTCAAGAGGATCCATCAACTCATTCGTATCCATGTCAATGGTATTTGAATGGTCTCTCGATGACAACCGATTGTATATCGAGAAAGCTTCGCATTGGTGGCCCCGCATGCCAAGCTGCAACCAGCCTTCCCTACAAATTAGAACAATTTGGAATCACACTTTCGAAATATCCGTCACTTCAACTACAAAACAAGCACTAACTTAACCGATTGTAAAGGAAACGCCAAAACATGAAATTTATATAATTTTCCTTCCCTCATTTTCTCGGGAACCAAACAGATAACATTATCAAATAATTCCGAAATGAAATTAAAAAATTCACAAAAACAGAGCCTCCGCCAAACCTTCCACAGCAAAACCGAATCAAGAATCAAACTTTGAACCAGAATCTAAATTCAAGTAAGAAAACACGGAAATCAAGAAATAAAAAATCACAATTAAGCAAAAAATAAATGGAACCAAAACGGGAGCTGCAAGTTGCGATTCAGAAAACACTCAAAATTCACAGAAATCCATCGAGCTGGAATACCTTATCTACGTTCCGATCGCCCAACGGATCTGAAATTCAAGCAGCAAATCAGAGACGTGTTGGAACGGGTTTCGGCGAGGTTTGGCAGCCTCTCACTCTCGAAGTGCTTTCCTTTATAGCACTGAGGTACGAACGTTCGAGAAGGAAGCTTTGGAGCAGCTTCGTTTACGCGCGAGTGAGAAACTGGCGGGTACTGCGGCGGTGGTGGGCCGGGTGCGGTGGTTTCTAGTGTGATAAATGACGAGTGAGGAAGGAAAGGAAGGTGCTGGAACTTAATTACGTAGAAATCTACGGGAGCATGTTCTGCTTTTTCGAGCGACACAAGAGAAACAGACAAAAGATACAGCTGAAACATAATTTTTTTTTTAAAGAAAAACATAAACATTTATTTTAAAAGAATTAATGAAAAATGTTTGAAAATTTTGAATTTTAATAATAAAGATAAAATAAATGGTATTAGATTTGATTTTTTAGTGTAAAAATGTGATTTTTCGTGAAAATTGTAGATTTTTCATTAAAACTTTCTTGTTTTTATGTTAATTTTCCTTTATGACGTCAAAAATAAAATCCTTACAGAAAGGAGTTTAATTTCTGACACGTGTTGGAGCCTTGGAGTTGCCGGTGGTCGGTCTCCGTTACGTAAAAGTACCGGCGGAACTTCCATCCGAACCTTTGAGAATTTGAGTTTTTCATTTTGATCCCTGTAGTTTGGTTAAATTGCTCGGAAGCCATGTAAATTGTAAAAAGTAGAAAAAGTGCCACCCTTTTCTGTAATTTCACACAAAATTCTCACACCTAGTTTTAGGGCATTGCATTTCGCTTGCACCTTTTTCTCACGACTCATCGCTTTCGAACAGCGAAGCGCGTAGAACGATGGGGTCAAGGGACAAAGACCAAACGACACCGCATCATCAGCCTCTTCTCAGCAGCCTCGTCGTGCGGCCCTCCACCAGCGACGGAGCCGGCGGCGGAGGCGGTGGCCGTGGCAGCGATTACGAGCCCGGCGAAGTTCGCCGCGAGCCTCCTCCCTACACTCGCTCGGATCGTTACCCCGATGACCCTGGTTCGTATCTCTAATTCTCTGATTTTTATTTTCATGGATTTTATTCGTTGTTTGAGGGTGTCACAATGCTCAAATCTTAAGTTTTATTTTATATTTTGTACATAAATCTTAATTTGATTAGTATTTAGCATTTTATCTTGAAAATTGTTATTGCTACTCCAAAAATCTCATTCGATACTCCAAACTTTCTATATTTAGAAAGAAAAATACAATTGCGATAAGCTTGTGATAAGCGTTGAGAATTTTGAAGTGCTAATAGCAATTTCCTTTATCTTATAGATTCAATAATCATGGTTATTTATTTATTTATTATTTTCTTGAGTTTCTGTTGGCCTTTTGATGCAGAAGCAATAAGTGAAATTTGTAGAACAAAGAGGTTATATGTTGGAATTAGTTTTTGAACTTCTGTGAGCATAAATTTGAGCTACATATATTTCGTGTCGAAACTTCTTAGTTTATCAGTAATTGATTTTAAAGTTTAGTTTGTGCTTGATCGTGTTTACGATTATCAGAAGTAGCTACGGTGCTCTTATAAATAGTGTCCTATGAATTTGTGGCAACAAAATATGGGTTTCTTGAACCTATTGATTGTTTACACTGCGTGTCGAACATGTGGATCTATGACCAATTATAGAGTGTCAAACTGTGAATAAATGAATTCTGCTATTGTGTCTTACAGCTCTGAATGTGCCTGCGAGAACATGAATCTTGAGGAAGGTATGTTGGTGTGAATGCAGTCTTGGATCATGGTCTCGGGCAATGGTCTGGGGCAAATTGTTTTTTCATATTGTGGGTATTGATGGGAAATGTATATGATGCGTGAACTCGTGGGTTGCTGCATCAATGAATATGGGTTTCTGGGCATCATTTTGTTGTACTGACTATGGTTGTGGTTTTTGTCTGCTTTTTTATGGGATTGGTGATTATGGTGTCCGGTTCATATCAAATATTTATGTAGACATGCCAATCAAAACTGGAAGTTTGAGAGGGTCTTAAGAATTTCTGGGCACAGGATATGGTGCAAGCTTTGCGTGGAACTTATTCCCACTAACGGTATCATTTTGGTTATTTTGAATTGCAAGTTTGCAACCAACAGTGAGGATGCTTTACGTGAGATGCTGCTGGAAGATGGAGAGTTTGGTTACAATTGCCAGATGGTGGGAAATTCAGTTTGGTCAAGTGGTATTGAATTTACCATTTTAGGAAAATTAAGGACAATGTTATTTGCCCGGTAACATTGAGCTTTTCTAGTTTTCTTGGTTTCACTGGTTTAACTTGTGCTTGGGAATTGTATTTGATAAGTGGTTTGTTTGTGGTATCATTTTCAATTTTCCTTTTTTTATGGGGGGTCAGATACCTGTATAGTGTCAGTTGGATAGTTATATGGTAACTAATTCTCAGCATTGCTGAATTGGGTATAGAGTGCAAGGACCTTTGGGAACTTCTTTTAGTATGTCAGTTCTAGGTTATGTATTTTTGTAAGACTTTGCTGAGTTGTATTTGATGGAAGGTGAACTAGTAAATTGAGGCAACAAATTAATGGAATTACTTACTCGGGTTGGACATGCCTCTGTTGTTTCATCCCACTATAAGATTCAGAATGGTTATGCAGCGGTTAGTGAACTCTGGCGTTTTGATTTCTCTTCAAAGATGTGAAGATGGTTTCTGAAGAAATGAACATATTGGGAGTGGTTAAATTGTAGAGTTATTTGGAGGCTTCAAGTTCTGTGTGGGTCTTTTTTGGGCAGTTCATTTCCTGTGGGCGTGCACTTTGGTTTCACTGCTCCTTCTTGCAGGCATGCTTCCACTGGTTCTGGGATTATTGTTCTCTGTGCTGGATTAGTATCAAATATTAGTTAGGTGTATCTGCATCTTTTTTATCCGTTGGTTGCAGATATGGATGAAATTTTCGTCCTTATTACCGAGAAGGTCTTACATTGTTATGGTTACACCAGACTTATGATTATTGGGTTTTCCAGATATGTAGGTTTAAAGCTTGTAATGGTTCATGTGGTAGATGGATGTGACTTTAGAAAATATAAAACCTCTCTGAAATTTTATTGTTCTTAGGGTGAGCAGTTGCACTACATGTTGAGGACTGTGAGGTTGAGTAATCATGGTTTGACATGCTCATTGCCGTATTTACTGGTATTATTCGCCGGTTGTTTGAGAAGTAACCAGGGCAGTTATCATCTGAACTTCTTATTATCTTCCACTTTTATTATGTTTCTCCTGAGTTATGGTAACAGTCCTTACAAACTTTTGAAATGATGGTATTGAAGTTTCTGGGTCACAACTGCCAATTCCTCAGCTACTTACATTATACTCCCATTGTCTGTGTTTCTGTGCAATTGGTAGTTACTTATATTTACAATTCACTACCCTTTCCAGGATATAGAGTGCGTGCAGGTTCTGCTTCACCTGTACACCGCAGGGATGCAGATCATCGCTACAGCTCTGAGTATAATCAATCAGGGCCCCCCCTACGTGGGCGTGATTTTGGCAGTGCACGGGATTCTGGTAGATATCGAGACCGCTCACCCCATTATGCTCGAGGAAGGGGTGCTGGCAGGCCATTTGGTAGAGGTTTAGATGGACCGGGGCTCGGTCCTGGGCCATTCAGAGGTGAAGGGAGTAGAAATAATCCAAATGTGCGCCAAAGGCTTGGAGACTGGATTTGCCCAGATCCTTTGTAGGTTCATTTTCTCCCTTTCTTTTTTCTTTTGGTTTTTCATTTACGTTTCCTTATTTTTTGAGGTTTTCCTCGTTGGAACTTGTCACTAATGTGATTGCTAGAGGGTTCTGCTTCCTGTGATTTTGTTTTAAGGCGAGATTTTGGAACTAGGGCACGGCTATACAGAGAGGCACACAATGCATTTATACTTTACAAAATCTTGTACAATTTTTGAGAATTTTGTATTTATTTAAATCTATTTAGCTCAAAAGTGGAGCTTATCCAAGTTGAATTTTGGTTTCTTGCATTATAGTTAGTTTTCTGGGAACCGATCACAATGATCAAATTATGAATTTTAATAGGTAAAAGCTTCAGAATCTTGTTAACCACTTTAAGTGGAAGAGGTTACCACTGTAGCAGTTCTGTTTTCTGATTGCAGGATTGGTTGGAACAATTTGCCTTTCAGTTTTACTTTCGTTTTTGACGAGTTAAGTGCTTGTAAATATGCATTCATCATGCCCCAATCCTTATATTGTTTATGTGTCTCAGATGTGGCAACCTGAACTTTGCAAGGCGAGAATACTGTAACAACTGCAACAAGCCCCGCCGTGGAACTGGGGGAAGTCCTCGAAGGGGTTATCCTGGGCCACCACCTCCTAATGTTCCTCATAAACGCTTCCCTGGTCCTCCAATTGATCCTCCTCCCCTTGGAAGGACCTTAAATGGTGGCTATAGGTCTCCACCTCGTGGCTGGGGCAGAGATGGCCCCAGAGATTTTGGTCCTGGGCTCCCACCTCCAAGGCATGAAGGCAGGTTTCCTGACCGTCAAATGCAAAGAGACCGGCTGGACTACTCTGACAACTACAGAGGAAGAAGCAAGTTCGATAGGCCAATGCCTATGGATTGGGGTAACAGAGATCGTGGAAGGGATGGCTTCTTTAATGAAAGGAAACCATTTGACAGGCGACCGCCCTCTCCTTCACCACCACCACCACCACCACCGCATGTACCTCCTCACCGTGGCCGATGGGCACATGATGCTAGAGAGAGAAGCCGGTCCCCATTAAGAGGCGGCCCACCACCAAAAGACTACAACAGGCCTATGTACATGGACCGGGGACGAGATAATCGTCGAGGCATGGGGCGAGGCCGAGTTGGAGATGCATATTGACTAGGAGGCCACGGGGATTTTTTTCTGGTGTAATTTTGTCTGAGTAGGTATCCGTTTTCCATCTAGAGAGTAAGGAAGAATGCGTAGAGTTTAGTACTAGTTTTCGTATTTTGGTTTTGAATTCGTATTTGTGACTTTGAACAGGTTATATGTTTCTTCAGTCCTCCATGTTTTTTAGGTTATGTTGTTCATATGATGGATTATCCACGGTTATCCTTCTGACCTTCATGTTACTTTTAAATTTTTGTTTTCGATTCGCTTTTATGGTTTTTCTTGCTTCGTGTGTTTCTTACTTGTTCAAAATTGTTCATTGCTGACTCATAGAATTTTTATTCATATGATCAAACTTGTTCATATTGTAAATTATTTTATTAATATCGTCTTTGCAGTAAATAAATTAAAACTAAAGTTGTTTAGTTGTTGAATTGTGTACAAAAATATGAACAGAATCTGTAAAAGCATTATAAATTGTTTATATATTTGTTACAATAGATTGATTAAACGATTTTATTTTTAATTTATTTTTTACATATATGATCTTACAGAGTGATTTAAAATGTAAACAATTTTGCTTATAAGTATATGGTTTGAACGTGATGAATTTTGAGTAGGAATGTTTGATGTGAATATTCAGTTATTTATTGCACCTTTATGTTTTAACGGTCCGGATGATTTGATTATTAGGCACAGTTTTTAGGAATTCAGAGAGAATCTGGATTTTTTCGATTGAATCCAAATCCTCCTTGAATTTCAAAAACTGAGCCTAAGGATCAAATGATCCGGGCTGTTGAAATTTAATCTAACGGCTACAAGCAGGAGTTCTTCTAAAAGTTAATGATAATTGTAGTCGTTGGATCAAATTTCAATGGTCCGGATCATTTGATTCATAGGCTAGTTTTTAGGGATCCGCACAGGATCTGGGTTCTTTTCGATTGGAACCATTATTCTTTTCTTTCACATCCGTTCCGTCCATTCCGTCCATTCCGTCCATCACACCAAACTAGGAAAATTCCACCAATCACAAATCAGAGATGGCATAGAGTTGTTGACCGCGGGCCCCACCAATATTCCAATCCCAATTAACCACCTCAAAGTCAGCAAACCCTTTTTAGCGCCAAACTCCGTACTTGATTTACTTTTACCTTTTCACGTTTTACCGTGCGGAATCTTTTAAATTTTACCCCAGTTTTTTCACCACCCAAATTTTAATCAAATACGCTATATCTCCAGCTACACACTCCACGCTTCACAATGACCTATCCGATACGTGTCACAATCTCAACTGCGAACACGTTATAGTTCCAGTGGCTCCGCGTGCACCTGATTTTTGTTTCCTAAGACACCTCCACTCACAGACTTGCACTGGTGGAAAATTTTGTCTCGTCAAATCCGACGGTGAACCACCGAACTTACTCTCACCTATGAATTCCTGCCGTCGATCACCTCTTTTAACACTAACCGTCGGATCAAACCTAGTGTCCCGATCTTACCGTCAAAATATCGCAAAATTGAAATTTCAAAACACTGGAAGAGAGAGGGAGGAGAGACGAAAGGAGGAAGAAGAAGAACAAAGGAAGGCCCCCTTTGCTGCCTTCTCTCTTCTCAATCCCTCTCTCGAAAGCCTCGATTTTTCTCTCTCTACATTCTATCTCTGGGAATTTTCGGTTTTCCTACCGCCTCTGTTTGGCAATTCGACGCCGTTTTGATTGCGGCCGGCCACTGGCGGAGCTTCGCCGCGAATCTTGAGCTGCGGGGAGAGCAGTTTCGGAGTGTTTGAATTCTTCCGGAGGAACCCGATTGTGTTTCGGATCTGAAAGTTTGTTAATTTGGAGAATTTGGGAGATTATCCGAGAGTAATCAGTGGATTGAGGATTTTTTTTTTCTCTGGAAGAAGAAAAAATCGAAAATTTCAGGTGAAATTTTGGAAATTTAATTTTTTGGATTTCATGGGGGAAGGCGACGGGGCCGATTCAGCTCCGAAGAAGGCTCAGTCGGATGCGGCAGCGGGCGCTGCCACGACATCGTCCTCGTCATCGATGAACGATGTTCCGGCGAAGAAGCTGGCGAGGCAGCTCGATTTCACGGTGTTTGGTAGCGTCCCGGCGAGTGTGGCGGTGCCTGAGCTCCCTAAGCCACCACTTCCGACCGTTGCGGTGCCACCGAGTCTGCCAAAGCCCCCCGTGGTGTCCATGCCGGTGCCGGTGTCGGTGCCGCAGCAACCGCATACACTGAAGCCTGGGTAAGTTTGTAGCTTTTCAAATGGATAGGCATATAAGTTTAATTTGTTTGGAATTGGAAAATTCTGCTGCTTGTTAATTTTATGGTTCTGTGGTGGATTCGTAGTTCAATTTTGGTTGAGAAGTTTGGATTTTGGATTGTGAGGTAATGTGGGAATTGTTCTCAAATTTGGAGGTGATTTGATTGCTATTTTTTTTTAGGGTAGTTTTGGAGCTCGTGTGTTTTCGGGTGTAATAAAAAATGTTCCAATCTTTGTTTGATGGATTGATTTTGGGGAAGTTTTAATGGGATTTTTGCTATTGGCATTGCTGAAGTTGGGTTAGTTGAACTTCTACATTTGTAAACAAATGAGAGGACTGCATTTGCATTTTTGGAATATTTGAATTTGATGAATTGATACTGGACATTGTTCTGATAGTTTAGTTTTGTTGAAGATGTTTTAGTCTGGTATCAAGGATCTCCCTTTCTCTAAATTTTGATATAAAAATTCTCGTACCCTTATTGACTTGAGTATGACTTTTATTTTACGCAACATCATTGAACTGAGTTCCTGGTTTTGGAATTTTAGTGGTAATTTTGGCTGTGGTGATTAATGGCTATGGTTGATGATGCATCTTTATCCTTCAATGCATTTACTGAACTTTATTTGTAAAGCTTGAATTTTGTGGTTGTTATTGCACATTGAGATACAGCTGAACATACCGGTGTCTAAGAGTAGAATCATTGTGTGCAACCTCAAGCTGTTTCATTTTTATTGTAAGCACTAAACACTATTATTTTTCTTTCTTAGGAAACCAGAATCCCCAAAATCGAGACCAAGACCCAATGTTGATGCAAAAGATGGTACTCCTAAGAAGCAAAAACAGTGTAACTGTAAACACTCTCGCTGCTTAAAGCTGTAAGTGCATATCATCTCTGCACTCGGTCGGTTAGTATGAAAAACCATTCCTTCTAGGATTTGATGATTTGTTACTGTTTGGAACTGCTGTTCTTATTGTTTTAACCTTACGTTTTATATGGTTCATTTTGATTTTCTCTTGTAGTTCTCAATTGTCATACAAGAATTGTTAATTCACATGACTTTCATGCATCAAAGGGTTTAGGTTGCAACTGTGTAAACTGTTGCAATAACGTTGTCATTTTATGACCAGGTATTGCGAGTGTTTTGCATCTGGAATTTACTGTGACGGATGCAACTGCGTAAACTGTTGCAATAATGTTGAAAATGAAAGTGCTAGGAATGATGCAATCGAAGCTACTTTAGAGCGCAATCCAAATGCATTCAGGCCAAAAATTGCAAGTAGCCCTCATGGAGCAAGGGATACTCGGGTACATATCTCTTAGTTTGATGGCCTAGTTTCAGACATGATGGATCTTTTAATGTTGTATTATTTGTTCAACAAACTGAGTTCAACTATTCGGCTTTTGTGAGTTGCAGTTGTTAATGTTACAGAAGGAGATTTCTTTAATAGTATTTTCTCTTATTTACCTTTTATGATGGTTCTAAAGTCACGAGAGCATTCAAGATGTTTACTTTCCCTTCATTTTGTTGGTTTCATCTAATATGGAATTTGGTCTACCTGTCACCATGAACTTCTGACCAGTGTTCTATTTATGACTTGTGCATGAGGGACCAGGACACATGCTTTGAAATTGATCAAGCCGTTTAGGAGCGTATGAAATATCATTGCATGTCCAATTTATTTGGCATGATTTGTGAGCTTGTGGTGTATATTGCCTTTCCATTTTTAGTGAATTATGTATGGTTTTTATTTTTTTATGCCATCACAAAAAATGGCCTAGGTGAAAGTGACTTGTTTTACTTTATATACCTTCTAATTAGAATTATATTAAATATTTCTATTGGTGTTCTTTATTATAGTACCCTTCATTATGACATTGTTGACAAGAATGTGGTCTGGTTTGGAAACATGTAGGAGGAAGCTGGCGAGGTTTTGATTTTGGGGAAGCACAACAAAGGATGCCATTGCAAGAAATCAGGGTGCCTGAAGAAATACTGTGAATGCTTCCAAGCCAACATTCTCTGCTCGGAGAACTGCAAGTGCATGGACTGCAAGAACTTTGAAGGAAGTGAAGAGAGACAAGCTCTATTCCATGGAGACCATGGCAACAACATGGCATATCTTCAACAGGCAGCAAATGCTGCCATTACTGGAGCTATTGGATCCTCTGGCTATGCATCATCGCCTCCAGTATCCAAGAAAAGAAAAGGTCAGGAACTCTTTGGACCGACAGCAAAGGATCCATCATTACACCGGATTGGACAGTTTCAACAGGTGAATTTAGTCTCATGGTATAAGAACAAATTTTTGACAAATTAGTTGGTGCTGACCAATTGGACAAATGGTCCTATTAAGATTATGATTTTTATGAACTCACTAGACCTATTTTCAGATCAGCTGTTAAGTTTTGGAGTAAGTGCATGAGTAGAAATCATTTTTAGTGAGATTCACATTCTTTTTGTTTACTTCTTGTGACACTGAATTTAGTGCTTAAACGTGGATGCTGAATGATTTTTGATAATTCTTTCTATCTATTTTTTTTTAATACCATATTCTAATTTGGGATAGTATCATTAAGTGCATGTTTCATGTAATTGTCAGGGAAACAATATCAGAGCCCCTGCACCCTCTCCGCTGTCTTCAGTCCCTGTTAATCACCTTGGTGGCACCACAGGATTAGGGCCTTCTAAGTTTACGTACAGGTAGAGTCTTTTTTATTTTTATTTTTTTATTATATATATAAACTGAATTGACGTGGTTCAATACTAATTTATGTATGATTGTTGAAGGTCTCTCCTAGCAGACATCATCCAACCACAGGACTTGAAGGAGCTTTGTTCAGTTTTGGTTGTAGTAGCTGAAGAAGCTGCAAAGACACTTGCAGGTAGTTTATTGATTCACATATGACGAATCACTATCTTTCAGATTTCACTGTTTTTCATGAGTGTGTGTAATTATAGACTTGTGTTTAAAATTATATATATTGATATTTTCTTCCTTAAACA